GTATCTCCCTCTCTCTCTGTCTGCCCCCCCCTCAAAAATAAATAAATATATATTTTTTTAAAAGTGTCCAGAAGAGGTTTCGCTAGTTTAAAAAATAAGTACCTTTTAAGACTTGGGATTAAAGTCTTAATTACTGAATTACTTGGTTACTGAATCACCCAACAGAAAACTTGCAATGCAAGGAAACTTGCAAGGAAAACATAGGAGTGCTTATTTCTCTGCTTTAAAAAAAAAATTCCTTAAAAGTATTCCTATGTAAATACTCATTAGCCTGATTTTTTTTTTAATGTGAACTTAGACTTCCACCCATGTCATATCCTTAGTCTGCAACCTCTGTTAAAAATTTCTTAGGCATTTGCCCAGGAATTTTGCGTGTAAATGCATGCGTATATTTATTTTTACAGACACACGAATTTGTGTATGTATCTATGTATGGATGTGTGCATGTATGTGGGCATACATGCACAAATATACAATACATATATACTATTACATATGTCTGCATGCATTGTGTATGTGTGTGTGTGTGTGTGTGTGTGTGTGTGTGTGTGTGTGCTTCTTTTACCAAAGGTAAACATGGTACCTCTTATTCAGAAGTTTTCTTTTCACTCAGTAATATTTGTTGCCTATCTATCAATATATAGATCTACCTAATGTTTTTAATCATTTTCAGATTCTTGAATAGTATTTTAATTTTTTTATGCTATAAAGTATTTCATGATATGGATGTAAACAACTTGTTTAACTTTCTTATTTATAAGCATTCAAGATGCTTCTAGAAATCATTTTTTCAATATTTATAACACACACACACAAAAGGAGGCCATAATTATTTTACGTGACTTGGCAGTAGAATATGTCTGACTTTATTGGTCATTTGACTTCTTTCGTATGTGTTAATTGCCTGTTCTTGTATATATCTATTTTTTATTAGGTTGTTAATCTTTTGCTTGGTTTTTATGTGTTCCTCCTATAAGTAGAATAACTTTTGACACCTAACTAAAATATGTCTTGTCATTCCTCTTTTTGTTTTTATTTTAATATATATTTTGAATTTATTTTATCAAACATATCAAAATGTTCCATAAAATTTTTGTCTTTTTTATTATGCATATAAAAACTTTGCCCACCCAAATTATGTTATCATGTATATTTTCTTGACGTTCTATTGTAAATGATTTAAACAATTAATTAAATTTCTTTGTAAAGCCACTTTTCTGGGCTTCCATAATATGATACAGCAATAACTTGAACTGAAACAAATGATAGATTTCACCTTATAAAATAGGCCACAGAGATAGTTGTACACTGAGGAGACTTACTCTAAACTGTTCTTCATTGCTGATGTTTCAAAAAAAAAAGTGAATATGGTCATTGAAAGGGTCATGTAATTTTTAATGGGGTAGCCTACAGTCATGTTCAAAAGCCAGATGAAGTAATTACATTCTGCTTATAAGCAGGAGCAGTATAATTTCGATCAGAAGAGCATCAAGTGAACTGATATAAACCTAAGGGTTTGAAACCCACTCAGGTCACTACGAGATAAATGACACATTGGAGTGGAGAGAGGCTCAGAGGTACAATTAATTTGTAGGCTGTTTCTGATGGCCAAATGCCCATGGCCTGTTTCCATGACGGATATGGAAAATAAGGAAAGTGGTGGGAAAGGAGACAAAGGGGAAATGTTAGAATATACGAAATATAATAGCAAGACTTACAAGGTCTACTCCATGCTAAACATGGCTCTGAGTGCTTGACATGCATGAAATCATTGAATACCCGTAATAACCCATGACGTGAATACTGTTATCATCCCCATAATATAGATAAGGAAAAGGATATGATTAAGTGATCAGAAAGATGAAATGATTGACCAACTCACATAATTATTAATGGTCAGAGGTGACATTTGCTCCCAGGCATTCAGTTTCTAAGATATGTCCCCTTCTACTGAGCTATCTTATCTCTGAAGTCCCATTTTCCCTCATCATTCTGAACAGCATCCTCGGAAAGAAGTTCTTGGCAGTTGGTCTATAATTTTCCGTTCTCATCCTTGCTTACTATATTCCCCATTTAGTAATTAAGTGAGTTAATATTTATAAAGTGCTTAAAATAATGCTTGGCATATAGTAAGCAGCATATAAATTTTATTAATGAATCAAATAAATAAACTCAATTATGTTTCAACACTTATTATGTTGCAGGCAGTCTGCCAGATGCTGGAAATGCACAGTTGAACAAAGAATGTAAAATCCTTATTCCCTTTGACCTACAGTCACGCAGGGAAAAAAAACCTGAGACGTTTAAACTTCGCAAATAATTATTTCATAATTCTCGTGAAAAGTGCCATATAAAGAAGTATGATATATCTTGAGGGCATATGGCAGGAAGATCTTTCCCGGATTAGAATCTAGCTCTCAAAAAACCTGAGAACCAAGGGCTGATAAAGAGGTAGGCAAAAAAGCAGTTAGGGTGAGAGCCTTCTAGGAAGAGAAAAACTCCGGTGCAAAGGCCCTGAGACAGAAGGGACACTGGCAAACTGGAAGGTCCTGGAAGAGAGCCATTGTATTCAGTTGTATTAAAAACAAAGAGGATGCATTCAGAAAAACTTCAGAGAGGACCACAACCCTCCCCAGCATCTGTCTCTGTGCATGCCTCGGCTTTTATTTTTGCTTCCTTTTTGCAATACCTAATGCTGAGGACCACTCACTTCCTTTCTCGGGAACCTTCTTTAACACCGCTCTTTCCTGGTGCTCTTCATGGAGTGCTGACCACACCTTCTCTCCCTTTACAGGTTCCGGTTTTGATTAATGGCACCACTGTTCACCCAGTTGCCCCAGAGAGATAACTAGAAATTACACTCACTTCTTTTTCTCCTGTGTATCAAATCAGTCGCCAACTACTGTTACATATACTTTGTTCAAATATCCTGAATCTTTGAACTTCTGCCTAGACTCTTTCCTTCAAATTCTCCTTGTTTTTCTCCTGTCTTATATATTGGCCGTCCACATGCTTTTCCTGTCACCAGTCTTGGCTCTGGTTATCTCCCTCATAACACCGCCCCAGTGATCTTTCAGGTCTGCAATATGTTCATATCCCTCCTTTAAAAAAAAATCTGTTTATGACTCCATTGCCTATAAAATTGTATCAGGATATAAGGGTTTCATGAGGCAAGTTTCATGTTTAATGCTTTGTCCACATTTCTGGTCACTCTTTCCCTTCATGTCAACTTCATCTCATTCAAAACTACATATTGTTTCTGGACGCAACTGTGATCTTCCTACTCAAGATTTTTGCAAACATTTCCCTCTGCCTTTCTCTCCGTACTTACCAGAATAATCCCTCTGACTCTGTAAATCCGCTGCGGGCCAGTCCTGTTTTAATACTTTCAGGTAGTACCTGTCCTATAGCAAGTTTTCAAAAATGTTCATATTTCATGGAGCTTTAAATTACATAACAGTATTATATACATTGTTGAAACTTGAACATGTTTCTAAAATTCAAATGTACCTTCCAATGCCTTAACTGTGGGAAGGCCGTCACTGTGCTGATGTGAAAATCCTTGACACCCCTCTCAGGTGTATCCTCCAGTGTGTGTGTTTGTGTATATCTGGTCAAATTGCCTTAGCTTCTGGAGCTTCGTTCGAGTTCCCTAGCCGGGAGCAGTCCGATCCATCACCCCAACTCACGGACTTCAGCATTTGAAATCCAAATCTAACAGTAACCATTTGGCTCCAAAACATGGGAAGAGCTTTATGTTAAGTAGTTAAGTAGAAATTCCACCAGTAAAAGTCTTCTCTCTCTTAATCAAAATTAATAAGAAGCATGTCCCGTTTTGAGACTTGACATGTCAATGGATATTTTCTGTTTGTTGGAGGAAAAAAAAAAGGGAATACGTCACTCTCTTGTAAGCACCACTAAGATGGAAAATCCACCTGGGCCAGAACCTCATGTCCCTATGAGCCTTATTGTAGCTTGCAGAACAGTCTGCATGAATGACAATCACCCCATCAGAATCATTAACTTCGCATAAATTGCATAACAGATTCCCAAGCAACAGTGAAGAGAAACCCAACTACAATAGAAAAGAAAGTCTTTGTTCTGTTTCTAGCTGGTAGGTAGAAACACACACACACACACACACACACACACACACACGCACACTACCATCACAGCCCCAACATGAGGAAAAAGCCAGATAATTTACCAAGCTATTCCTTTTCTTGAGCCCAGTGAAAGGTGAATTTGAAAATCAACAAAGTGAACTGAATTCCAAAGGGTCAAGTTTCTCTGAGGAGTGGGGACACACAAAAGCTTTCACCTTTGATGGAACCAGAGAGGGAGAAGCAGGGGGCCAGAGAATCAGAGACAAAAGCAATCAGCTAAATGTTAACCAGTTCCTAAAGGTGGAGCCTAGGCTAGCAAATCAGTTAAGAACGAAGCCCTCAGGCAAAGGAAGTAAGAAAGCCCTCAGGAGCTGTTTTTCACAAACTGCACCTACCGCTCACCAAAAAAGATTGAGGGATGTGAGACAGGGCAGGAGACTGGAGCATTCCCTTCAGTGGTGCAGGCATGCTGACGAAACCAGGTGCTGGCAAAAGGACACAAACCTGCCTCCCCCATCCCAGGACTCTTCTTTCATAAAAAAATCCCACTTCTCAAGCTGTTGGTTTGGTGAGAATGCAGGAAACACTCAGGCCAGGCAAACAGATACCCAGGCAAAACCCAGCTGCTTCTGAGAGAAGAAGCATAGAAGCAATCCCATTTGCTTCTGGAAAAGAGGAAGTTAAACCTCTTGGGTCTAGTGTCTGGCCCCAATACCGAGCAGAAGCTTGTCGTCACTGGAGAAAGGGAGGAAACTCTCCCCCACCCCAGACCCCACACAGATACTCTTGCAGAATCCGCCTGCTTGCTAGGGCTCCCATAACAAAATACTACAAACTGAGTGGCCGAAACAAGAGAAATGGATTGTCTCAAAGTTCAAGAGGCTAGAAGCCCAAGATCAAGGAGTCAGCTGGGTGGGCTTCCTCCTAGGGCCATGATGGAAGAATCTCCTCGATGTCTCTCCCTGGGCTTCAGTGGTTTGCTGGCAATCTTTAGTGTTACTTGGCTTGTAGAAACATGACCTTGAGTTCTGCCTTTATCATCATATGGTGTTCTCCCTGCGTGTATGTCTGTGTCCAAGGGTTCTCTTCCTATAAGGACATTAAGTTACATGGAATGAGGGCCCACCCTAAGACCCCATCTTAATTAAATATACCTGCAATGACTCTACTTCCAAATAAGGTCAGATTCTGAGGTAACGGAGGCAAGGATTTCAAAACTTGAATTTGAGAATGGGAGACCATTGTCCGCAACAAGACAGAATCAAAAATGCTAAGAAAGCCCTGGCTTTGAGGCTCAGATTCATAGGATCTTCCTAATACTGAGGCTGGGACAAGAGAATAAAAATCCCTACCCATCCTACCATCACTCCAGCACCAAGTAATTAGAAATCATATTTAATTCAACAGAAATTAAAACATACCACATTAACGTTGGCGGAATACAGCTAAAAGCAGTGTTTAGATGGAAATGTATAGCATTAAACACTTACATTGGGAAGAAAGAAATATCTCCGATCAGTGAATTATGCTTCTGAGAATAAGAGCAAATTAAACACAAAACATCAGAAGAAAGAAAACAATAAACACCATACATAAAACTTAGTTTGAAGTGATCTAGATTTAAATGTAGAGAAATCCAAAGGAGAAAATCTTTGTAAATTTGAGTTAGACAAAAATTTTCTCACATACAAGAAGCACATATATTTTTAAATATTTATAAATGATACTCCCTTAATATTAAAAACTTCTATTTTTAAGAGACATGCTTACAAAAATGTAAAGACACACCGTGTACTCATTGAAAATATTTGCCATATGCATTTATGATATATAAGGAACACCTACATCTCAGTAATGAGAGGACACAAAACCAAATTTAAAAAATGGGTAAAAAAACATTTTATGAAAAAAATAGTAAAAAAATAGTGTATGAAAATATGCTTAATATCAATAATTATCAGGGAAATTTGAATTAATACCACAAATTAAAACAAAAATAAGATGGCTAAAAGATAGAAATAGCAATGATATTTTTTAATGTTTATTTTTGAGAGAGAGACAGAGTGTGAGTGGGGGTGGGGGGGGACAGAGAGAGACAGGGAGACACAGAGTCCAAAGCAGGCTCCAGGCTCTGAGCTGTCAGCACAGAGACTGACATGAGCCTCGAACCCATGAACCCTAAGATCATGACCTGAGCCAAAGTCAGACACTTAACCTACTGATCCACCCAGGCGCCCCAACAATAACAATACTAAGTGCAGAAAAAGTTGAGGTACCACCCAGAACTCACATGCATTATTGCTGGGAAAGTAAAACGACATATTCATTCTGGAAAAACACTCGGCAGTGTCTTATACACTTACCCAGTATCTACCTAGCAAACCAATTCTTCCATATTCATTCAGAAGAAATTAAAACATACATCCACACAAAACTGAGTATTTATAACAGCTATTCATAACAGCCCTTAACTAGAAACAATCCCAGTGGCCACCAAGGGATATGACAGTACAATGGAAAACTACCTAGCAAAATAAGGAAAAACCACTGAGATACAGAAAGCCAAGAATGGATCTCAAAATAGTATCTTCAGTGAAAAAAAAAAACCAGACATAAAAAAGATAACTACCAAATGATTCCCTTTGTATGTCATCTAGAAAAGACAAAACTCCAGGGATAAAAATCAGATGAGTGGTGTCAGGGGCCAGGTGTTGGGGGAGGGGATTTATTACAAAGGGGTAGGAGGGAATTTTCGGAGGTGATGGGTTACAGGTTATGTCTGTGTATGTTTGTCAAAATGCATTGGGCTGTGGGCTTAACATGGATGGGTTTTAATGATTTAAAGTGTACTTCCATAAGCCCAACTTTGCAAAGTACAGCAAAAGAAATACTTCCTATGAAATATTTTACATAATTAACAAGAAAAAAGTCATATCAAAGACTTTTAGCTGGACTCTACATATGATGATTGTACAAGACCATTTAATTACACTGCCTCTTTGTGCTTGAACAATTTCCTTCATTCACTGTATATGGAGTTTCTCTTATGTACTATGGGTATCAAGCCCACTTACTTAATGAGGGAGGAAAATCAAGACTCTGCGAAGACTCATGATTTAGCCATATTGGATTGGAAGTCTATGCCTTGACATTGTGCAGCCTATATGCCCATGGCCCGTGCCTGCCCGGTGAAGTGTGAGACCGGGAGAGGAGAAACCAGAGAAAACAAAGTACCTGGGGCATTGCCATTCCTGACTGTTGGGATGTTTTCACGGTGAAAATTTTCTCTTGTCTCCCACTTGCTTTAGTTATTTCCACATGACTAAGTGTCACTGCTTCTGAATAGGAATTTAAGCAGGTCATGATTTTTCTGGTTATACATGGTTAACATAACACTCTGTGGTCACTCCAAGTTGCAAGGTAAATCAAGATGTAGACTATCCAGTGAAAAACATAAACCACTTCAATTTTCATCCAAAGGCAACGGTTCATATGTTGCCAACCACAGATTTGTCACCTGCCTTCAGGGCAGGGATTCTCACTGACTCCTGCAGCCACATTCACCTTTTCCCCCCATTTGCCACTCAACCCACGTCTAAAATCAGAACTGACCTCTCCTTAGTGGGCTAATGTGGTGATAAAAAGAGGAAGAAGGAGCAGCACATTTTTATTTGACTGTTATAACTAAATCAGAATGAAACAAAACAAACGAAACAACAGTATCCTCCTAATAGCTGAGAGCTCACAGGTAGCCAGCGTGTCAAACTAACTTGGTACCCTACATAAACAATTTCACCTCATATCAACATCAGAAAAGGTTACTTCTCGACTATGAGAGAGGAGACACAAACAAGGGCACTAGACAACCACAAAAAAAGGATCAAACATTTCTCCTCTCTGGCTAATACAGGGGCCATTGGTTCTTTACCAATGCCAGCTCTATCCCACTTTATTACTCTTACCCCTTTTATATAAGTTACTAAGAGGCTCATCACCAAACTACTTCTTGCTTACTAATAACTTCCAATCCAGTACAACCCCTCACTTTCTTAAGGCAAAGTCAACCATTCAAGCCAAACTCTATCCCAAGAATGCCCTATGTTCCCTTATACTGACTGACCCCACAGTTCTTAATGGTGTAAGGTTTCCCTTACGTTAGTAAACCTAGCACTGTTTGACTTCATTATTTCTTCCCTGGGCTTTAGTGAGACGGTTTTGTATTCTTTGAACCTAGCAAACACCCAGAGGTCATTCTTTCTCTTAGGAACATGACCCTGGATTCCTTGGAGGAGTCCATGCTGGATCCCTCCTGCCACCATATTTACCCCATGGAACGTATGCTCCTCCATTTCCTCCACATCTAGACCATGTTTTTGTGTGTGTTTTGTTTTGTTTCAGAGTTCTTCTCCATATAAACTCCTTCCACTGGACTCCCAGGCAATTATTCCAGGAAGAAGTTGAAAGATTCCAAGATGAAACGCTGGGTTACTCACATCCCTCGTGTGTTTCATCTCTGGTCCAAGGGAAAAGGTCATGCATCCTCTTTCCTCTATACACTTTGGCAGAACGGTTCAGTACCAATACAGACATAGCTCTTCCTCACGCTTCCAGCAAGGCCGCTTACCAACCCAAATATCTTGCAGCCAGGATCTCCCAGGT